TCATTTTTTTTGATGAGATTCACCCCCCCCCCCACACACACACACACAGACAGGTATAGGTGTGTGTACATGTACATGTGTGTGATGATGTTGTGTAAACATGTTTGAGTTGTGATGAACGCAGACAGCGGCAAGAAGAGAGCCGTCCTGAAAGACAACAGCTGGATCAGAAGAAACCCAGAGGAGGACGAGCTCGTCGAGTATGACACACACACACTCACTCACTCACTCACACACACACACGTGATGAAATGCTCCTAATACTCATTCCCAATGCTTCTGTTGCAGTTATGATCCTAACCCTGGTAAAGTTGTTCTGGGTCAGCGGAAATCAGGGAATGATGTTGACAGGTGAGAATCATTTCACTCAGAATCATATCTGCTGCCGATTTTCATAATAATTCAAATCATGTTCTGTGTGACTTCAGCAAACCGCTGGAGGACGATCAAACCTCAGTGAACTCTGGGACGTCCGTCAGCTCCTTAACCAAGAGGTGCACTATGAATATATCATCATCTATATGTATTTCTGCTGTATATACACTACCAGTCAAACGCTTTTGAACAGTAAGATTTTTTATATTTTGAAAGACGTCTCTTCTGCTCACCAAGCCTGCATTTATTTTACCCAAAGTACAGCAAAAACAGTACAATTTTGAAATATTTGTTACTATTTAAAATAACCGCTTTCTAAGTGAATATCTGTTAAACTGTAATGTATTTCTGTGATGCGCAGCTGTATTTTCAGCATCATTACTCCAGTCTTCAGTGTCACATGATCTTCAGAAATCATTCTAATATGCTGATTTGCTGCTCAAGAAAAACATTTCTGATTATTATTATTATGTTGAAAACAGCTGAGTAGAATTTTTTCAGGTTCTTTGATGAATAGAAAGTTCAGAAGAGCAGCCTTCATGATCACTTTTGATACATTTAAAGCATCCTTGCTAAATAAAAGTATTAATTTCTATCATTTCTTTCCCAAAATTATACTGACTCCAAGTTTTTGAATGGTATAGTGTATAATGTTACAAAGGCTTTTTATTTCAGATAAATGCTGATCTTTGGATCTTTCTATTCATCAAAGAATCCTGAAAAAATTTACTTTTTTTTTTTTTATATTAAATATTTTTTTAAATATTGATAATAATAATAATAATAATGTTTCTTGAGCAGCAAATCAGCATATTAGAATGATTTCTGAAGATCATGTGACACTGAAGACTGGAGTAATGATGCTGAAAATACAGCTGCGCATCACAGAAATACATTACAGTTTAACAGAGATTCACATAGAAAACAGCTGTTTTACATTAGAATAATATTTCACAATATTACTGCTGTACTTTAGATCAAATAAATGCAGGCTTGGTGAGCAGAAGAGACTTCTTTAAAAGCCATTTAAAATCTTACGTGCTCAAAAACGTTTGACTGGTAGTGAATGATGTTGAATGATTTCTGTTTCTCGTTGTAGATTCGGTGGCAGTCAGGAGATGCTCAACAAAAGCAGGTTGGTTTGTGTTGGTTTGTGTCTGGTGACTCAGATTCTCCGTGGTCTGACTCTTCTGTCGCCCGCAGCAGCACGAACACTAAGAGCGGAGCCGTCTCCATCTCATCGCCCTCCAAACCTCCGCTCCCTGTCAAGTGAGAGCCGCTGCAGCACACAGAACATGCTGAGGTTTAGTGTGTGAGTCTGTTAAGCGTGTGACTCGCTCTGTTGCAGGAATCCGGCGCTCAAGACTCCCAACAGCTCCAGCTTCACAGCGAGGGTGTTCTCCGGAGCAAACACCAGCAGCAAACCGTAAGTCAACTAGAGCTCTGCTTAGGGCTTAAAGGAGTAGCTCACTTTCAAGATGAAAATTCTGCCGTCATTTACTCACCACTCCTGTATGAGTTTCTTTTTTCTGTTGAACACAGACGAAGATATATATATTTTTTAATTTAGTTCCGTAGTAGTTTTTTTTCCTACTTTGGAAGTCAATGGTGCTCATCAACTGTTTGGATACCAACATTTTCAGAGTCCGGAATGTTACTTTTAAAATGTATCAGGTTACAGATTACAAGTTACCCTATTTAAAATGTAACAAGTAGTGTAACTATTTCAAATACTTTATTAAAGTAGTGTAACTGATTACATTTGGTCACTTTAAAATTTCTAACAAATGTTAAACATTTTGAAACATGTAAAGCAGGCCGGGTTAACCTTACAGTAGTGCTCTGATTACTCTCGGAATCCTTCGTCATTTGAATTAAGATTATAATAATTGAATTTTAAAAAGCACAACCACCACAAAATCAGACTTTAGCTCCTCTTAACTTTGAGATCATTCTGAGGTTAAATGCAGATTTAAAGTATAGTTTAATAACTATGATACTGTTTTTGAAATGTAATCTTTGCATAGAAACACTGGCATCTAACAGTTAATCTTAAAAAAATAAAGCATATACATAAACCCAAATATACAGTTATGGAATAAGCATGTGTCCTAAACTGAAACATTGGTGTCTCATATTTTAGAGCAGTCTCAGAATCAATTAAATCTGTATGTTTGTGAAAAAAAATTAGATGTAACCCCCTTTGTAATCTTTAAAAATGTCACTGTAATTTAATTACACATTTTTCTTAGTAACTGTAACTGATTACAGTTACATTTTTTTGTAATTAAATTATGTAATTCCGTTACATGTAACTAGTTGCTCCCCAACTGACTTTTTAAAAAAAATATCTTCGTTTGTGTTCCGCAGAAGAAAGAAACTCATGCAGGAGGGTGAATACATTTTTAAAGTGAACTAATCCTTTAACACAGGTGTGTTAGTTGAGTTGCTTTCTGCTCATGTTTGTGTGTGCAGGTCAAGTCCTGTTAAACGAGCGTTTGGTGAGAAGCTTCCGGAGGTCACAGCGTCTCAGAATACTGACGGGTGAGTCGAGTGTGTTCTGTCATTCAGGACAGGCTTATTATAGTCAACTTCATTTCAAACCATTAAGATAATTCTTTACTTACAATAAATGCTAACTGAAATAAACTAAAATAAAATATTACAACTTTTTATTTCAGCTAGTTTCAAATGGAACATTTCTCATTTTAATTGAGTTTATCTTTTTGTACTAAAATAACTAAAACGGAAATAAAAATTACTAAAACTATATAGACAAAACTACTAAAAGTGACAAAAACACACAACATAAAATACAAAATTAAATAAAAAAAAAAACTATATAGACATACATATAACTACTAAAATTATATATATACAGTCATGTCCATATATATATTTGTGTGTGTGCATATATATTTAATATATCTATATAACTACTGAAAGTGACAAAAACACACAACATAAAATACAAAATTAAATAGAAAAAAAACTATATAGACATACATATAACTACTAAAATTATATATATACAGTCAGGTCCATATATATATTTGTGTGTGTGCATATATATATAATATATCTATATAACTACTAAAAGTGACAAAAACATACAACATAAAACCCAAAGTTAAACAGAAAATGTGAAAATATAATATTATCTCAGTGATACTAAAATTATCTACAGCTAAACCATTTTGAGCTTAAATATTTATATTTCAGTAATCCAACAACAAATTTACATTTGCATTCACAATTAAACATCACATTTCTCTGATGTCAGTTACTGTTCACGACATTCAGGTAAACAAATAAAATATTCCGTCTTTTTTAGTAAATGTTATGCTTTGTTTTTATTTTGTAATATGTTTACATTTTTTGTTTTAATTAAGGATGGTTTTCCATCAACTCGAGTATGACATGTTACATGTAAAGTTTCAGTTTGATTTCAGTTTTTAATGTTTTTAACAGAATTGCTAAGAGCAGCAGCGACGGAGCGGCTCCATCGACTCCTCCGTCGTCTGTGACGTGAGTCTGTTTAATGTGTGAACTCCGATCTCCAGTCAGAGGAAAGCTGGAGTCTCTAATATTATCTGTGTGTGTTTTTATTGATGTAAACAGCGTCTCGTCGTCAGCAGCTCCTGCAGCCATGTCCACGTAAGTCCTGTTCAGTCAAAACCAGATCTGAATGACGAGCTCCTCACGTTCTGCTTCAGATGAAGATGTTTTTATTGATTCCGCAGCGGTGTGAAGAGCCCAGTGATCCAGCCCGCCGTGAAGAGCCCAAGCAGGTGAGATTCATCAGCAGACGTCATCAATCTCCATCATCTGTAGGGTTGGGTATCATTTGAATTTGAGCAATTCTTATCGATTCCCTGCTGAAAAAAACAATAGAAGCATCACAGAAAATTCGAATGGTTTCCACTTCAAATACCATTACAAACCATCAACTTTTAACCATTAAAACCATTAAAAATGGTTTTCTGTAGTGTGTTTTGGGACATATTCCTTTAGGATTTATTGGTTTTAACAAGCCACCAATAGAAGGTGACCAGCAGAAACCCCTAGCAGTTTCCATTAAAACCAGTAAAACCATTACAACTTTTGTGATGGTGTCTGTTGTTGTTTTTCAGCAGGGTTCCTAGTTTTGCTTTCAATAAGATTAAAAAATCCAATATAAAAACAATGAAGTCAAATATTTATTCTGTGTCTTTTACAAAGCGTTCTGTTGCAGCTGAATAACACTCAGGCCTACAAGAGGAACTTTTGCCTATGCTTTCAACAAAAATACCACAGCAAACACAACTAATATACGTTTCAAATATTAACGTGTTACAGACAAGTAAACAGTCAGTAATAAAACAGGAACAAACTAATCAATTAGAAACGGCATAAACAAATACAACTGAACCAAATTGCAAGTACAGAAACGAATTAAAAGTTTAAAAACTTTTATTTTCATAAATAAAATATAGATTAATTACAGTTATTAAAGATATTCAGTCAAGATCGGTGAATGATTTTCTTTTGTTCTTTGATTAATGTTAATGACAGGCAGTGCGTTTATTAGGCTGCTGTCTCTTTAACCCCGAACGCACGCAGAACTAAAAACACTGTAATACTGCGATTTCTCTCATGTTTACCTTCACTTAAGACAAAAACGGCTGTGTTTACTTAAATCGAACACAGGAATCGTTAAGCAGAATTGAAATGCACGCGTCTTATCGAATACCCGGTTCTTGGAAACCATGGAACCGGTTTTCCATACCCAACATAATCATCTGTCTCCTGATGTTGCTGTCTGTTCTCAGGAGTGAAAGCGTGTCCGTCTCATCGCTGGTGTCCACGTCCTCAACACCGTCGGCTCAGTAAGTGACTTCACACTGACGCTCATCTGAATGTGTGCCATGATCTCTGATTCATCTGTTCATGAAACAGAACCGTCATCACAAACACCAAAACATCCTCCTCGATGCTGGAAGAGACTCCAAAACCTGCAGAGAAACCCTCGGTGGACCTGAAGCTCAGGTACGAGCTCATGTGAAGAACATGATTCAACCATTCACAGCAATAGTGCAGCCAAACATGAACATGCTGTAAATGTGCTCACCCTCAGGCCATCCGAGATCAGGATGAGTTTGTTTCTTCATCAGGTTTGTAGAAATGTAGCATTGCATCAGTGTCTCAGCAATGGATGCTCTGCAGTGAATGGGTGCCGTCAGAATGAGAGTCCAAACAGCTGATAAAAACATCACAATAATCCACAAGTAATCCACAGCACTCCAGTCCATCAGTTAACATCTGGAGAAGACAAAAGCTGAAACTAATCCAGCATTAAGACGTTTTTAACTCAAATACCATAGAGTCCATAATCCATAATAACGCTTCCTCCAGTGAAAAAGTGTTCTGGTCTGAATCAGGAGAGAAATCTGCACAGATCAAGCAGCGTTTAAACAGCTCTAAACTAATATGTGGCTGGATTTTGATGTGAGAGACAACAGCAGATGCACTTTTTCACTGCAGGAAGAGTTATTATGGATTATGGACTCTATGGTATTTGAGTTAAAAACGTCTTAATGCTGGATGTGTTTCAGCTTTTGTCTTCTCCAGATGTTAACTGATGGACTGGAGTGCTGTGGATTACTTGTGCATTATTGTGATGTTTTTATCAGCTGTTTGGACTCTCATTCTGACGGCACCCATTCACTGCAGAGCATCCATTGCTGAGACACTGATGCAATGCTACATTTCTCCAAACCTGATGAAGAAACACACTCATCCTGATCTTTTCTTCTCAACTGCACACATTTAAAAATGGAAGCTGATCACCTGAGAGAAGTCTGTCAAGATCCAGATATGATATTTTGATTAAACGGATTAAACATTTGACGCTGACTTTAACACATGTGATCGTGTTCATTCACATGCAGTGACATCAGTTATTCTTCAGCTCGCTCTCCGTCGTCTCCACCGGCTGTGACTCTGAACACGCGCTACAGCTATCAGACTCCCAGGTAACGCTGTCAGATACTTCACTCTCGTTTACTGCACAACTTCAGGACACTCATTCATGATGTGTTTTCCATCAGCGCTCCGCTGGACGATCTTGCTGACACTTTATTGCCGACCCGTTCTGGAAGCGTTCAGCCTCAACCTGTCCGATCACAGTAAGATCGTTTGAGCACTCTCTAGCTCAGATCGAGCTCTCTAGATATGATGATAACTCATAGTCAGATCATGTTGATGCACATGTGAACATCTGTTCTCTTTATATCAGAACACAAGTCACGACTGTTTATTCAGAGATTCCTGCTGCATCACCGACTCTGCGCTCGCCTCTGCAGACACTGGAGTCCAGCAGGTCAGAGATTCACTCGTTCAGGGCCAGTTTTGGGGAAAGTTACTTTTAAAAGTAATGCAGTACAGTATTGCGTTACTCCATAAAGAAGTAACCGATTGTGTAGTTACTTTTTATGGAAAGTAATGCATTATGTTACTTTTGCGTTACTTTTTGTCACCTGGGCTGGGCTTGCTTAATTCTTTTTAATAACCCAATAGAAAACCCAAAAGTTATATTTTGGCAACTATAAGGGTCCTTTCACACCAAAATTTAAATGAATAAGCCTCAGGCTGAAGGAAGTGTCTCAGCACTTACTCCTGATTTCTGTCACCATGGCAACACCAGAGCTGTCACTCAATACATGGAAACAAAGTAACTGCTGGTACTCATTTAAAAATGTAACCCAGATATTTCATTGTAATTTTAAAAGTAATGCATTACTATCAGTGTTGTGGGTAACGCATTACAAGTAACGTGAGTTACATAATCAGATTACTTTTGAAGTAACGAGTAAAGTAACGCATTACTTTTTAAATTTAGAAGGAAATGTCGGAGTTACTTTTTGAAATCAGTACCAGCAGTTACTTTGTTTCCATGTGTTGAGTGACAGCTCTGGTGTTGCCATGGTGACAGAAATCAGGAGTAAGTGCAGAGCGTTGTGTATTTGCTAAAAAAATATAACTTTTTTATTTTAAAAACAAGCAAGCAAGCCCTGTCCAGATTTAAAAAGTAACTCAAAAGTAACGAAACGCATTACTTTCCATAAAAAGTAACTAAGTAACGTAATTAGTTACTTTTTTTAGGGAGTAACGCAATATTGTAACGCATTACTTTTAAAAGTAACTTTCCCCAACACTGATTACTAGTTACTTAAAAAAGTAATCTGATTATGTAACTTGCGTTACCCCCAACAATGTGTTGATGCACATGTGAACATCTGTTCTCTTTATATCAGAACAC